CACCACATATTTTGTTCTGTTGAATGCTTCTGCCAAAAGATGGTTAGACCTGGGGGGAGTCTGTTCACAATTCTCAGGTTCCCTTTACCATATATAAAGGGGGAGGGCAGTGACACCTACTTCAAAATGTAGTATGACCACTTATGGGAGCGTAAAAGTGGCAGTGCTGGAATTGGAAACACTATCCCTGACCACAGAGTCCTCAGTCAGGCGAGGGGACCAGACTGAGGTAGGGGCAATTGGAGGGGGAGTATACCAGCCACCTCCTGGGGGTGTTGCCCTGATTGGGATGGGCTGCCCTCAGCCCCTGGCTTGGGGCAAGCCATCTCGGCCCTCAGGGTGAGCTCCTTAGTCCCCAGATTGTGCCATCTGACCCCTGGGTGGGGGAGGGGGACAATTAAAAAGAATGCCTAGGGTATCCAGAGAATGTTACTTAGGCCACCTTCTGCCACCCTCCCCTCCAGTAAACCTGAAAGCAACACCCTCAAAACCCTTCTATTTGTAACTCACAAGTTTGTTCTCTCTAGGTTTACTCTCTTTCCTATAGGTAAACTTAACACTGTGTTTTACTCCAGAATTGACCCTGAACCCAGTGCCAGTGACAAAAAGGAAATACAACTGACAGCTAAGGAAGCAAAGGAGGATGGAGCCTCTGGGTTCAACCAGCCTTCCCCACTGGACCCACCTGAGAAAACACTTTGCAGTCTGGAGGGGAGCAAATGACAAGAAAATATCTTCTAACAGAGCCAGAAGGCAAGCAGCTTTAACTCAAGACCACCAGTAAGGAGATAAAGTGTCCTCCCTTCCCCCCTTTACATCTACGCCCCTGTTCAGCATGAAGAAGCCAGAGAGTCTGCATCCGATTCCCAAATCAATAAGACAGTTGGTTTAATTACCACTGAAAAATGCGTGTCACTCCTCTCTAGCATCTGGTCCTCACTAGACCCTCATCATTTCCTTCACCTTCTCCCCCCACCGACCAAACTGTGCAGCTCTGCAGCTGCATCCTGGCCCATCCTCACCCTTCTGCCCCCAACCCTCACCTCCTTATACCCCCAATATGTTTTTCCCAATTAAAAAACAAACAAACAAATAAACACCAATATTCTTCTTACCAAAACCATTTATGAAAAATAGGAACAGCATCGGAACATGTATCTCTGGATTGGAAATTATTATATTGTTAATATTTCTAGCCTTAAACTTAAAAGATTATATTGTTCAAAATTATTTGTATATATTTGTTTAAATTTTTCCCTCTTTTAACAACTGGGATCTAGAGGGAAGAGAAAAGACCATAGAATGACCAAAATTACTGGGGCGGCTATTGCTGACAGTTTAGGGCCTGTGTCAGGAAAAGGAAGTCTTACTCATAAACAATGCCTCCAAAGGTAATAAAGGAGGTCAGAATTGCTTCCACTGTGGAAAGCTGGGCCACTTCAGTACAGTGTCACAGACGAGAGCCACAGATAGGCAAGGGAGTAGAGAGAAAGCTCAACTCACTTGCTTTGAGTGTGGATCTGAAGGACACTTGGCCAAGGGTGGCCCACATCAGGTCCTCGTGGCTGGCAGGACTGACAGGCCCCAGCTCCCAGCTGGAAACAAAGGAGGACACTTCAATGATTTAGATCCTCCCAGAAGAGCTGTGGGGGAGCATTAAAATTACTGGTAAGTATATTCGTTTTCTCCTGGACACAAGAGCCTATTATTTGGTCCTAAAAGCCTTCTGATGTCCCAACTCTTCTCACTATTTCTTTGTTGTTGATGGAAAACCTCATAAGCAGTTCCTTACTTCACCTCTGCCTTGCATGCAGACTTCCGAGCTGTAAAACAACCCAGTGGTAGATGGAATTTGGTCCTGGACTTAAGAACAATAAATGACATAGTTGAGCCTCTACATCTTGTGGTTCCTAACCTTTATGCTATAATAGACAAAGTGCT